GCATTGGAGAGGGTCCAGCGGAGGGCAACCAAAATGATTAGGGGGCTGGAGCATTTGACTTATGAGGAGAGGCTGAGGGAGTTGGGTCTGTTTAGTCTGCAGAAGAGAAGAGTGAGGGGGGATTTGGTAGCAGCCTTCAACTTCATAGAATCATAGAACAATAGGACTGGAAGGGACCTCGAGAGGTCATCGAGTCCAGCCCCCCGCCCTTAAGGCAGGATCAAGCTCCGTCTACACTATCCCTGACAGATGTCTATCTAACCTGTTCTTAAATATCTCCAGAGAGGGAGATTCCACCACCTCCCTTGGCAATTTATTCCAATATTTGACCACCCTGACAGTTAGGATTTTTTTCCTAATGTCCAATCTAAACTTCCCCTGCTGCACTTTAAGCCCATTACTCCTTGTCCTGTCCTCAGAAACCAAGAGGAACAAATTTTCTCCTTCCTCCTTGTGACACCCTTTTAGATATTTGAAAGCCGCTATCATGTCCCCCCTTAATCTTCTTTTTTCCAAACTAAACAAGCCCAGTTCATGAAGCCTGGCTTCATAGGTCATGTTCTGAAGGGAGGTTCCAAAGAGGATGGAGAGAGGCTGTTCTCAGTAGTGACAGATGGCAGAACAAGTTGCAATGGTCTCAAGTTGTGGTGGGAGAGGTCCAGGTTGGATATTAGGAAAAACTATTTCACTAGGAGGGTGGTGAAGCACTGGAATGGGTTACCTAGGGAGGTAGTGGAGTCTCCATTCCTAGAGGTGTTTAAGTCTCAGCTTGACAAAGCCCTGGCCGGGTTGATTTAGTTGGGATTGGTCCTGTCTAGAGCAGGGGGCTGGACTTGATGACCTTCTGAGGTCTCTTCCAGCTCTATGGTTCTATGATTCTATGTGGAAGTCCTGGCTGTGTCTGAGGAGCGCACTCAGCAGTGCAGCTGGCAGCTGCAGCACTGTCCAACGTGCAGGCACAACTTTTGTGTGCAGGGGGGCCCACTGATTGTCCTGCCCTGAGGCCCAGAATTGCTGCTGGTGGGCCTACTAATTTTGAGGCAAAAGTTTACAGGGCCCTAATTTTCAGAAGGTACCGAGTGTCCATCGTTGAATATCTGGCACCTTCCAAGTGTTTTCATTGACATCCAAAAACAAAGGAACCCAAAAATCACTGGTCCTACAGGCCCAGTCGATCGTGTTAGTTTGCATCACATAGTTACTGCACAATTTGTCTTCCATTAAAATCGGTGGCAGAATCTTAAGAGGACCAGTGTGTGTACTGAAATTAAAATCCTACGATTCCTTCCCTTTTACACTGACCGATTCAGGTGATGATAATAATAGAACATCTCTTTCTATATATATGCAAAAAATGTACTGCAGGAGGACAGAGTGATGTCATCACGTCACTCTGCATTGCCCTGCCCCCCAACCTGGGCAGAGTCAGAAGGGGAAGTAGCAGCCACGGCTTGGGCCTCCCCTGCGGCCCCTCTTTGGCGGGTGCTCTGGGATACACACTGGCCCCTGGCTTCCCTGCAGGAGGGTCGGGGGCCCCGGTGGGAAGCAGCTCCAGCTCCCCACTCTGCTGCTTGCTGCCGGGCTCTGGCTCCTGCAGCCCAGCTGCTGCCTAGCCCAGTTCCTGGGCCCCACTGGCGGCTGGGGGCAGAGAGCCGTGGCCTCGGCCTGGCCCTCCCAGGCAGATGGGGGAGATGGGGCTGCCTCAGTGGCTGGAGGGGGTGGAGAAGCAGGCACTTAGGCTGGAGCAGAGTCCCTTCACCGCCTCCTTTCCAGCCAGACTGCCCTCACTAGCGGGCCCGCCCGCTCACCATGCCTGTAGCTCCGCTGCTGGGCTCCTCCGCTCCAGGCCCACTGCCCGCCTCAGCCTCGCCCGCCTGGCCACTGTTGCTAGTGCCGAGCTGCTTGACCTATAGCCTCTCCATGGGGATGGGAGCTTGGCTCTCCCTCTGCACAGGCGCTTAGCTGGTGGCCAGGCAAACTCATCACAGGGTTGGGGGGTGAGTCAGTAGCCAGGAGGGGAGAAGGATGGAAGAGCCGGGCCTGGGGCAGACTCAGTGGTGGGGGGTAGGCGACCGTAGTGAGCAGGGGGCACAGCTCCCTAGTTTATATGATCTTTTATGAGCTAGGATTCTCCCTCTCTCTTATACTCTGACAGTAACGAAGCAACAGCACATGAGAGGCGGTTCATTTCAGGTACAATAGTACTGTCTTGGGGTGCCTTGCGAAGAGGAAGGTTGTGTAATTTAAGTGCCTCTATAGTGGGTGATGCCGTCCTCAAAAATAAACTGACTGTCATGTTATGTTGGAGCTATCAACAGAAAGGGTAAATAACTAAGGCTGTGTCTAGACTGCAGGGTTTTTCGAAAAAACTTCACCTGTGTCTAGACGACAACCGCGTTCTTTCGAAATTAAATCGAAAGAACGCGGCTTTTCTTTCGATGGCGGTACTCATTTCACGAGGAAGAACGCCTTTTTTCGAAAGTGTTCTTTCGAAAAAAGGCGTTCTTGAATGCCAACAGGGCTTTTTCAAAACAGCATCCAGACTGCCTGGGTGCTCTCTTTCGAAAAAGCGGCTCACTTTTTCGAAAGAAGAGGTTGCAGTCTAGATGCTCTCTTTTGAAAGAGGCTTGTAGTCTAGACATACCCTAAGATGAAAAGGTCGTGCCTATGCATTGGCTGAGGCTAGTATTTTGCCCAGGGTGAAACTCAATAGAGCCACAGTAAAGAGTACATTTTCTCTGCATCGAGTCAAAGAGATCCAATGGAACCCCCCTTTCGGAATAATACCTGGTAAATGATTAATCGGCTGCTGATGTGCTGGTTGGTAAACAGTGCTTCCTGCTGCATCATTTATCTTTTAATGTATTACTTGGGCAACATGCTGAATTGAAATCCCTGGAAGCTCTTCATTTTATGTCTGATCCTGATCCAATTGAAGTGCATGGGGGAAATCTCATTAATTTCAATGGCTTAAGACCAACACCTGTCTGTTAGGAGCAGGTGCAGCATGAGCATCATCAATGCCATCATCCCAACGCTGCCCTACCCCTGTGTCTCAGCCACGACCTGTAAGTACCTGTAAGGACTGCATAGGGGTGAGAGTGGCGCTGGTGCGCAACAGTGCTGAGAAAATGGTCACTTTTTGGTTTGGGGGCCAAACTGAAAAATCAGTTAATTTTGAACCACAACTTCATGTTTTTTAGTTTCTCTCACCCAAATGAACAAAATCTAAATTTTTTGTTCAGATGGATCAACATTTTCGAAATGAACCCATCCCGGTTTTTTTCCACAAAAAAAGTCAATTTTTTTTATGTGGCTGGAACTGTTTGCCAGCTTGGGACCTGAATTCATGAACAGATTAAGTAGCTGAGTTCTAATTCTGGGCCCCTCCTCTCTTCTTATTCTCTCTGCAGCGAGACCACTAGCAAAACTTCACCTGTGAGACGGACAGTGTTTCACAAGAGCTGGACTGAGATCAGCAGTTCATTTTACATGACTGTCCATCAGGTGGTTATTGCTTTTAGTTCCTACTGATCAGGTTTGGTTTTCAGCCTGAGGCCTGGAGGTGCAGGACTCTCTCTTGTCATCAGGCTAATATAACAAATCTGACCTATTTTTTAAAAAAATCAGTGCTGAATGAACCAAACTAAATCAGTGGAATCTACTTATGAAAGAAGCTTGGAGCGGATGAAAAAGGACTTATACTCCACATAAACCCTCAAAACAGGTCGTAAGGGGGACCAGAAGACACAGTCTGGGCCCTTTGCACTGGAGTAATTTAATTCTTGAGAATGACATTGATGTTATTGAGCCGTATATGAAACGTGGGGTTGGCTACCTAACGTGCCTTTTGCTATGGACGAGGACTGTGTTTTTAGTGGACAGGTGTCCAAAATTACAGACGGTGCTTGTCATGATTATGAGGGTTAGCCAGCAGCCTGGGGATTAAGGGGTTAACTACACCTAGCCAGGTGGAGTGACCAATAGGAATGTAGGTGGGACTTTTCAAACTGGGATAAAGGAATTTGGGTTTGTTCTTTTCTCCCCTTTTGTCTCTCTGAGAGAGTTCTCTGCAGCTACAGAGAGGGACAAGCATGTCTCTCTCTCTCTCCAAGACACCATTCTTCATTTTCTGTAAGTAGAGTAAAGTTTAGGTAGTTTCGTTAGGTTTTATTGTTTTATGGATTGGGTATGGGATCTGAGATCTGGCACTGCTTAAAAGATGTTTTGGCTTTTCTTTGTAACTAAGTTCTAGGCCCATGGAGTTTCTCCATGAGTATATTTTGTTACCTCCCTATCTAGTCATTATGTTTGCAAGAGGAATATTGTTGTAATAATAAAAGTTCTTTCTTTTCTTTTTATTAACCTGGCAGTGGTGGCCTTGATTTTTATTTTAGGGGTAAGATTTCCCAAATGATCTTTCCCCTGATTTCTTTATCAACATTTGGGTGGTGGCAGCGGAAGTTTTATTCCCAAGATCTAGGTTTTTAAGATTTTGGGGGGAGTTTGATACCAAAGCCTGGTAGATAAGGCTTTGGGGTACACTTGCTGGCCCCCACTTCTGCATTTATCATGCCAGAGTGGGGAAGGAGCCATGACAGTGCTATTGCCTATCTGTAATGAAAGGCACGGTGGAACGTCCAGAAGCACTTAGCACTGGCCTACCTCTGTCTCCTTTGGGAAACCCCACCCCAGAGGTGTGTGCTGTGTATGTTTATAACTGCGCGTCCGGTGTTCTCTTTCCTTTTTCAGCGCTTGTCGTTGCTGTTCTCCGCTTTATACAGCTGAAGCCAAAGGTGCTGAACCCCTGGCTGAACATCAGCGGACTGATTGCGTTATGCTTGGCCTCGTTCGGAATGACCTTACTGGGCAACTTTCAGGTACCCCACTCCCATTTCCAGCTTATTGGCAACTAACGTGTCATTTACCAACTCCATGTCATGATGGCCGCATCCATTATCTTGGTAAAACTGCGCTGGCAGACCTACCTGCTGTAAGCACAGATCTCTCTGCTCTTTGGAGCTGCCTATGGCAGTACGGCTGCTAGCACGGCTATCCATGCTCTCAGCTCCTCAAAGGGCCCCTGCCTATTGCCTTTTACATTGCTTCCCTGGTGGCAGAGGGGAGGCTGCAACTGCCACAAATAGCACTGATGGTTCCTGTTAATTTAAAAGTTTAAGTTAAAGCCCAAGAGAAATAACCCTCTATTCCCAGGCAGGATTTGAATCTGTGTCACCTAGTGTTCCATTTTCTGGCACTCCATAGCAACTGGGAATCTACCTCACCTGGGGGCAAGTGTCAGGCTTGACAGACGTGTGCCTAAGTGGGAGGACGGCGCTGGGGGATGGCCAGCCCTGGGAGCTTGCACGCACATATGTGCCAAACAGGGATGCCACACACAGCTGCCATAAGGATAGTTGCTGTCTGTGATTAGAGTGTATCAGTGTGTTACTTCTTGTATATGCTTAGACAGGCCACAAGAGGGACTTTATAAACACGCAAGACATTTCTTGCTGTGAGCCATTGTCCTGGCTGTCGTTCTTGCAATTCACAAGCTGTTCTGCGTGTGTTACAAATGAACTGTCAGCCGTCATTTTGAGACACCACAAACTTGCTCTAAAATGGGGCATGTGTCCACTGTACTGGTGTGTCTGCTTGTCTCTTGGGTGCAAATGAAATCTTAGGGGGAGGATTTTCCCAAGTATTTAAAGTAGTGGAGGTTGTGTTTCTAAATCCCCTCTGTGTCTTGGAAAATCTCCTCCTACTGGATTGCTAACTATGCAACTCTGACGGGTAACTGCTGTGCAGGGATGAGAAATCAAGCAGGGCCAATTCTCTGCAGCCATAGCTGTACAGAAATCAGCGAATTCATGGCAGCAGAGAATTTGGCTCATTATCTGTACCAAATTGGAAAAATACATAGGTTTTCTTAAAAATCTGTTGGCAGTAATCACGTGGTTGACTTTTTATTAAGGATGAACCAGTCAGATACTTTAGGCTAGATTCAACTGGCGTTCACCAGTTCCATGTAACTTCATTGCCGTAAGTGCCCATTCCCTGTGTAGCAGCTTGCGGCCATGGCTTTGCTTGGGAACCTCCAAGTTGTAAGAGCTAGCCCAATGCTTGTCCAGCTGTATAAAGGGGAAGCAGCGAGAGGCTGGGGTCAGCTTTAAGAAACTGGATCTTAAAGTTTTCCTTTATTTTCTGTATTTTACTCTTGAGTGAAGGCTGGTTCTTCTTTGAGTGCTTGCTCACGTCCATTCAACATAGGGGGGTGTGCACCAGCGCCGGAGGGTTTGTCCTTGAGCAGTATCCGAGGACCGGCTGTAGCATTACCTGGAGTAGGGTGCACATGCTGCACTGGATAACATGCTGCCAGGCTCCCTCCACCCTCAGTTCCTTCTTGCCACCAGCAAGGGTGCTTGCAACTTCAGAGCTGCAGTTTTTGCTGTCATGTCTTCTTTATCTCAGCTAGCTAATTGTCTGTAAATTGGAAAATCCTAAAAAACAACAAAGTTAACTGCTGTAGTTTAGAACGGTTTTAGGTCCCTTAGGGACTGAGCGTCCGTGTTCACACACAACGCTGGCCCAGCATCCACTGGCCACAGGTTTTCTGCAGGAAAGTCTCTTGTGTGGTTTCTGCAGCATTCTCACTGGAGAGCTAGTGGGCAGGATAGTGCTTTGCTTGCTCCTCTTCCCTTTGGGAAGAAATTCTGCTTGTGCATAAGCGAGGCTCTAAACAGCTGACCTTCCATACGCTTACACTGTTTCATGCTGCAACTGGGTAGGAAGGCAGCATTGGCTTTGTCTTACCCATTAACAACTCTTCTTTGATACTACACCCTCCATCCCCCTTCCCAAAACTAGGATCACACGGAGGATTTTCGTAGATTTTTTTCTTTGGGAGGTATCAGAGCAATCATTCATAAGTTCTTTTGTCTTTGTAGCTCTCCAGTGACGAAGAAATCCATAATGTCGGCACCTCCCTGACGTTTGGTTTTGGGACCCTCGCCTGCTGGATTCAGGCTGCCTTGACACTCAAAATAAACCTAAAGAATGAAGGAAGAAAAGCTGGGATTCCGCGAGTCCTCTTGTCAGCTGCTATAACCCTGTGCGTGGTCCTTTGTATCCTTTTTCCTTGCTTGCTGCACCTGCAGGTACCTAGAATAACACATCTGCATATCACGGAAGGAGGGGAGTTAGAAGGTAATGTGTAACACAGACCCACTTTCCCCCTTCGTAGTATTATCCATCCTAGTGCTCAAAATGTTTTCGGGCATTAACGAAGTGAGCCTTACGTTCCTCCCCTTCCCACCAGGGTAGGTTAATATTGTTTTCCTTCTGAGGGTACTGTGACTTGGAGAGATTGTGACTTGTCCTAGATCATTTGTACAGGAGCACTGTGTGGCAGGCCAAGGAACAGAACCACTGTCACCCGTGGGCCTGTCCTGTGCCCACCCCACAAATCTGTCCTCCCTCATCACTTGGGTTTGAATAAACAAGGAGTGATAAAGTTACTCCATTAGTCTGATTTTCACTTCTTCCACTGCGTCTGGCCTGCCCTCTAGTAGGGCCTAGTAGTGGCCTCTGCAGTTGGCAGATTCTGACATCTGTGTCAGTTGTGGCAGAAACTATACATGCAAAGCCCACCTCACCTAGTGGGCTTAATTCTGTCACCTGTTTGTGCCAATTGCAGGTGTGGGTGAGAGTGCTGGGAGTGCTCACCTGGGTGTTTGTGCACCCTTTGTGAAAATCAGGCCTGGGGGAGATGTGCGAGCTATTTCCAGGTCTGCCCACACCTTCTGTGTGACCAGAGCGGGTCACTGAATTACTCTCTGACTTCCCATCTGTTGGAAGGAGGAGAACAATGCTTATCCCCCCACTGAGACCTCGGTCTGGATGATAGTATAGAAATGCTAAATACTGTTGTTGTTAATGGATGTTAATAACCGTTATTAATCTATACGTTCATCTGCCTGGGCTCATCGATTAATGTTCACGGTTAAACACAGACTCCTGGTGCCCACGGGGAGCTGGCTTAAAAACCGACAGCCTGCACGCACTGGCTTTCAGAGAGCTGTCTGCTGCTTAGCATGTAACCGCTGGAATTTTCAGCAGTTACACAGTTAGGGTGTGTCTAGACTACAGGGTTTTGTCGACAAAAGTGGACTTTTGTCGACAAAACTATACCTGCATCCACACTGCCTTTGAGTTATGTCGACATAACATCGACAAAACTCAGCAGTTTTGTCGATGTATGTAAACCTCATTGTAAGAGGAATAACGCCTTTTATCGACAGAGTTCTGTCGATAGAAGGCATTATTGCATCTACACTGTCCGTTGTGTCCACACTGTTATGTTGACAAAGCGGCTTGCTTTGTCGACAGAACTGGATGTAGTCTAGACGCTCTTTGTCGACAGAAGCTTTGTCGACAGTATCTATCGACAAAACTTCTGTTGACAAAACCCTGTAGTCTAGACGTACCCTTACTTAATTACACACATTTTAACATCCGTAGCTTAAATGCTGTCCCGAAGAAGGGATGCTTCTTGAATTTGCAGCCTTGGTGCTTTTTGGCCTGACCCTATCTGCTAAAGTCCCCTTGACTTTTGGGGCTTTCTGTTTAGGATTAGGGTATTTTCACCAGTGATCATTTGGCCTCCCTTTTTGCATCCGTTCTTCCTGCTCTGCTTATTCTGTTACCCATTTTAGTTTTTGTTGTAATTCTTGTTGGCAGAACGATTGTTCCTCTTTGCGCCACAGTCCCAGCTCTGTTTTAACTTAATTTTAGCATCAGATACAATGTGCCTATCACAGCGTAGAACTGTTATTTCTCTCTTACTACAGTAGTGAACATAACAAGAGACAATTACCTTTTGTCCTCCTCACATTTCTGTTATGAAACCAAGGCAAGAAAAGCTGTTACGTCTGAAAGTCTTGGATAGGTCTTTTTTCCCCAACTTGTTTAAATTCCCATCATTCACCGTGATTGTCAGCAATGCGTTTAAAATTACTTGTCTATCTTTTCAAAGGTTATTATAATATAGAAGAGTATCTAAATCCCAAGAAATAAAGCAGTATGACTAAATTACTCTTATACAATTGGCCATATATAGCAACTCTTTTGTATCATAGAACCATAGAGCTGGAAGAGACCTCAGAAGGTCATCAAGTCCAGCCCCCTGCTCTAGGCAGGACCAATCCCAACTAAATCAACCCGGCCAGAGCCTTGTCAAGCCGAGACTTAAACACCTCTAGGGATGGAGAATCCACTACTTCCCTAGGTAACCCATTCCAGTGCTTCACCACCCTCCTACTGAAATAGTTTTTCCTAATACTGTTAGGAAAGGCAAATAGGATGCTAGGAATTATTAAGAAAGGGATAGAAAGTAAGTCCCAGAATATCTTACTGCCCCTGTATAAAACTATGGTACGCCCATATCTTGAATACTGTGTACAAATATGGTCTCCTCACCTCAAAAAAGATATTTTGGCCTTGGAAAGAGTTCAGAAAAGGGCAACTAAAATGATTAGGGGTTTGGAACGGGTCCCATATGAGGAGAGGTTAAAGCAACTGGGACTTTTCAGTTTAGAAAAGAGGAGACTGAGGGGGGGTATGATAGAGGTATATAAAATCATGAGTAGTGTGGAGAGGCCGTTAAAGAAAAGTTATTTATTAGTTCCCTAAATAGAAGAACTAGAGGACACCAAATAAAATTAATGGGTAGTAGGTTTAAAAGTAATAAAAGGAAGTTCTTCTTCACACAGCGTGTAGTCAACCTGTGGAACTCCTTGCCAGAGGAGGCTGTGAAGGCTAGGACTATAATAGAGTTTAAAGAGAAGCTAGATAATTTCATGGAGGTTAGGTCCATAAAAGGCTATTAGCCAGGGGATAAAATGGTGTCCTTGGCCTCTGTTTGTCAGAGGCAAGAGAGGGATGGCAGGAGACAAATCGCTTGATCGTTGTCTTCGGTCCACCCTCTCTGGGGCACCTGGTGTTGGCCACTGTCGGCAGACAGGATACTGGGCTAAATGGACCTTTGGTCTGACCCAGTATGGCTGTTCTTATGTAATATCCAACCTAAACCTCTCCCTCCACAACTTGAGACCATTGCTCCTTGTTCTGCAATCTGTCACTACTGAGAACAGCCTTTCTCCATCCTCTTTGGAACCTCCCTTCAGGAAGTTGAAGGCTGCTATCAAATCCCCCCGCACTCCATCCTTTTTGTAGTGGGGGGCCCAGAACTGGACACAATACTCCAGATGTGGCCTCACCAGAGCCGAATAAAGGGGAATAATGACATCTCTGGATCTGCTGGCAATGCTCCTCCTAATGCAACCTAATATGCCATTAGTCTTCTTGGCTACAAGGGCACCATATCCAGCTTCTCATCCACTGTAACCCCCAGGTCCTTTTCTGCAGAACTACTACTTAACTGGTTGGTCCCCAGCTTGTAACCATGCTTGGGATTCTTCCGTCCCAAGTGCAGGACTCTGCACTTGTCCTTGTTGAACCTCAGATTTCTTGTGGCCCAATCCTCCAATTTGTCTAAGTCACTCTGGACCCTATCTCTGCCCTCAGGCGTATCTACATCTCCCTCTAACTTAGTATCATCTGCAAACTTGCTGAGGGTGCAATCCATCCCCTCATCCAGATCATTAATAAAGATATTGAACAAAACCGGTCCTAGAACCGAACCTTGGGGCACTCTGCTAGAAACCAAGCGCCATCCTGACACCGAGCCGTTGATCACTACCCGCTGGGCTCGGCCTTCTAGCCCACTTTCTATCCATCTTACTGTCCATTTATCCAATCCACATTCCCTTAACTTGCTGGCAAGAATATTGTGGGAGACCGTATCAAAAGCCTTGCTAAAGTCAAGGTATATCACATCCACTGATATGTCTCATTCCTAGGACTACGCATCCCATGCATTCCTTTTTTCATGCTTAAGTTCACCAAGGATTTCCCCCGTAAACCAATCCGGTCTCCTACCATGTTTGCCTCTCTTGCTACATGTCAGGATGGTTTCTTTCTGTGCCTTCAATAAGGCTTCTTTAAAATACTGCCAGTGGTCCTGGACTCCTTTCCCCTTCATGTTAGCATCCCAGGACGGTCTGCCCTCAAATCTGAGAGAGTCAAAATCATCTTTTTTGAAGTCCAAGGTTTGTATTTTACTACTCTCTTTTCTTTCTTTAGTCAGGATCCTAAAATCTACCATCCCATGACACTGCTTCTCAGGTTGTCACCCACCTCTACTTCCCCTATTAGTTCCTCCCTCTTTGTGAGCAGAAGGTCAAGCTGCGCATGGTCCCTGGTCAGATCCTTCAGCACTTGTGACAAGAAGTTATCCCCAACATTCTCCAAAAACTTCCTGGATTGCCTGTGTACTGCTGTATAGGTTTCCCAACGGGTGTCAGGGTGATTAAAGTCCCCCTTGAGAACCAGGGCCTGCGATCTGGAAGCTTCTCTCAGTTGTCTGAAGAAAGCCTCATCTACATCATCCACCTGATTCAGTGGCCTGTAGCAAACACCAACCACAACATCACTGCTGTTGTTTGCTCCTTTAAACTTAAGCCATAGACTCTCAACAGGTATTTCTTCCTCTTTATACTGGAGTTCAGAGCAATCATAGTGCTCTTTTACATATAGTGCAACTCCTCCTCCTTTCCTCCCCTGCCTGTTCTTCCTGAACAGTCTATACCCTTCCATGACAGCGCTCCAGTCATGCGAGTCATCCCACCAAGTCTCCGTTATCCCAATTAAATCATATTTCTTCAGTGGGCCAGGGCCTCCATTTGTTCCTGTTTGTTGCCCAGGCTTCTCGTATTAGTGTACAAACACCTCAGGTAACCAGTTGATCGCCCTATCTTCTCCATTCGAATCAGGGGTCCTCCTTTCTTGCTCGTTCCTCTTTGCATTTCTTTCCGGTATCCAACTTTCCCACTCCCCTCAGGGTTGTGCTCACTGTCCCCTGACGAACCTAGTTTAAAGCCCTCCTCACTAGGTTTGCAAGCCTGCCTGCAAAGATTCTCCTTCCTCTCTTGGTTAGGTGGATCCTGTCTCTTCCTAACAATCCTTGTGCCCGGAACAGAGTCCCATGGTCAAAGAAACCAAAGACTATTCATTCTTAGTTGTAAATGTGTGTGATTCTTTCTTCTCGGGATGCAGGTTAAACGATAATCCTCTACAAAAGGTAGGTGGATAAGTAGGTCAGAGGCCACACCTACGCTTTGTTGAGGGTCCCCCAGTTTGGCCAGGTCTCAGACTGCAGGAAGGAGCATAATCTTATTTCAACCATGTTCTAGCCCTACAAAGTCCAGGTGTTTTAACCATGTTAGGGAAGTTTGTGTTGTAACCAGATGGCTGGCCTGGGAGTTTTAATACTGTAGATGAGACAAAAGAAGTCAGTGTTTGCTAAACGCCAGCTGTGTGCTTAACGGGGCATGAGATACAAAGACACAGTCCCTGTCCCAGGGAGCTGAGTCCAAATAGGACGACAGCGCAAAAAACCCTGAGGCAACTCGGAGGAAGATTTGATCTTAGACTGTGGTGCTTTTTCCTCAGTATAATAGACAAGAGACTGTATTTTTACTGGTGTTTCCAGACTTCCCACAAAGGCTGTTTTGCAGAGGTTCTGGAACGAGTGGCCAGTAGGAGTAACAAGTGGATTTACCCTAAGCCCAAAATAAGGTTAGACAAAGAGACTGGCCCTGTCGATACTTCCCCTTCTCCGTCAAATGCTTTGAGATGAACGGTGCCAGGGCTAAGCACAATTTAGCAGGAATAGGAGCACGTTCATTATCCACATGAAAGTGTTGCCACAAGTGACAGCCTTGAAATGTTCCCAGTTTATTCAGTTTCCTGTTGAATTGCATAGCTGACATTCAGCTTGTCCCTGATCCTCTGTTAAATACCGGTTTTAATTGCACATTGGTTGTCACTCTCCAGTGGATTATACTTAGGTGTAAAAGGAAGGCAAGATTGTATTTTCTCCCCCATCTGAAACTCAACCCAGTGCCGCTGTACCTGCTCTTACCCTGGACTGTTACTGCAAGACATGTTCTCCTTGACAGCTCTTCTCCAGATTTCATTCTGATGGCACAGAGGATCCATATGCATGCAGCCAGGATCCAGTGGGGCTTGGTGATGTGCTTCCTCTGCTACTTCGGCACCTTTGCTGTAGAGTTCAGACACTACAGATTTGAGATCGTTTGCTCCGAGTACCAGGAAAACTTTCTGAGCTTTTCTGAAAGCCCGTCTGAAGCCTCTGAGTATCAAACAGATCAGGTGTAGCCCTGCCGTCATTACATGGCAGGTGGGCTGGCATGGTCATCAGATTTAACCCATGATCTCATTACACTTTTTTTTTTTTTTTGACAAGTTCATTTTTCATGTAGTCACAGATGTATTGCCAAAGGGCTTTGATGGGAGCTGTTTTAAGAGCAGAGGAAAAACACAAGGACCTATCTGATCAAATCTGAAAACACCAATGTATTTGTAAAGAAAGGCCGACTGCTAAGTTTGTGCTAAAAGGGTCTCTTTCTCTTCAACCTCTGTCCCATTTCTCTTAGAAATATCCTAATCCTCATAAAGTCACTGTGAGGCAGATTGTACTGTACCCATTATACAGCTGGGGAGGCAACTGCTGCAGGGTGACCGGTCAGTCAGGGTTCGTACTTGGGCGTTGCTGGTTCCTACTCCTGCATTCAGACCACTAGAATGCACCTCTCTCATGTTTTCAACTGGTTTTTATTGTCTTGTTGTTGGACAGAGGAAACTTGAATGTGGAGTGAGGAAGAATTCTCAGCTGGTTTCATGGCAGCTGGACCTGGAACCAGTCAGTGGAAGAAGAGAGCACAAACATACTGGCCCTGTGTAAGGACAGGAATTTCTTTCCATTTGGAAGGCCAGTAAATGTGAGGCCTGGTTTGGGGAAAACTACATAGCTAAGAAGGCAGTGAAACAGACAGGGGTCATCAGCAGATGCCCACTTTGTTGTGGGACTGAGGCAGCCCACCAGCACCAATGCAAAAATACCAGGCGCATCCCAGCAGTGTGGATGAAACTTGTCTGCATCTCCATGTGGAATGGGCTGAACAGCTGTGACCCATGTGAACAAACAGCACTAGGTTAAAATGTGAGTATTTCTTCTGCCCGGTGGGGACCAAGAGAGTTTGGGTTTTTTTAAGTGCTTCCATAAGATAGTGTATAGTATTTAGAAAGCTGCTTTTCTCACTGACAAGGAAAACCTCGAGTGAAGACTCTGACTCATGCATGATCGGAACATCATAAATTCAGGCAGATGTTACTGGAGGTAGGTTTATTTTACTGCTTATGCACTAAAGGGGAAATGCACCGTTTGCAGAGGCCTTGGCCTTAGCTTACCTACCTAGCCCATGTGCCCAATTCAGCAACAGACTCCATTTGGTTGGACCCGCATGTGCAAAAGTATCAGGGCCATAGGGCTTAAGTGTGACTTAAATGATAGACAGGCCCCTCTACATGGGGCTGAACTCACCTTGAAAGTTTGGGGTAGTAAATAAATAGCTGCAGGTGGAGATGGGTAAACCAAAGCCCCAACAGGACTCAGAGGCGCTTTCATTTCATTCCTAAGGGGGGGGAAGGCGCTCAATTACCAATGATCTTGGTTCAGTGGCCAAAACTAAGATTTTTTCATCATGTAACATAAATACAGCTCAAATTGGAACAGGTTGAAAAATTGAGGTTTCTTTTGAGTAAGGATGTAAAGGCGTAGTTGATCGACTACTCGCTCATTCCAACCCCTGCATTTTTAAAGGGACGATGGCAGGAGAGGACGCTGGCTGAATTCCTGGTCCCAGGTCTCGGCACCCCCCTCCCTTCTTTGGGACAGTTTCTATATTTGTTGTCCTTGTATAATTCCACAGTAGCTCCACTGAATGAAGGGTTTATATCTGGCTGCAGAATTTAGCCCTTCAGTAATGATCTTAGAATAAGAAAAAATTAGCAGGACACTCAGGGAAGGGAATGTCTGCAGGGGATGTTAATCATTAAAATGAAATAATAGGTGGTAAAGCCACCATTAGGGGAAGACTGAAAGTAATATAAAGGCAAGCCAGGTATCTTTTCCTTTTCTTCATTGCTAGAGGAAGGTGAGACTGGCAGGGAGGCATTGAGAATCTCACACATGTGAATACTGAGCAGAGTAGTAAATTTCTGTTTAAAATGTGTTTACTGTAAATAGTCCACTGTGACATTTTTTTAAAATCAAATAATGCTTTTGTTTTATCATTTTATATTTTGAAATTTTATCAAAGTAAAAATTAAGTCTGTGAATTTTTTCCACTGACTATATGCAATCCAAGTTGAATTTCAGGCTTTTGGTGATATGCTGTACATTTCTTAAAGTATTTCTTATGGCACATATCAGTACAACTGAACAATTACTGGTATACACTCAAACATGACCACTAAATAAACTTTTTATGGAGTGAGTTTTATTCCCTTCCCCCCCATACACAATTTATGAAAACAAATGGAACAAGATGTGAGCAAATACTCACTTTGCATCAGGATACAATGATACACATCAGTTTTGTGTCCAGTCAGTCATGCAGGTATGGCTATAGCAATAACTGTTGTGAATTTGGTGCATTTCTGCAGTGGACTTTGTTTAGGGAGAGAATGATTCTTAACTAAGTTGAAGTCCCCATCTGTGTTCAGAGTAACTGGGCCTCCCTTGGGGCTGGACAGCTACTTCCCTATTGTTTGGCCATTCTAGTTTAAAAGGGATAGACAGTCAAGCTGCATTTTATCTTTTGCAAAGATCATCTCTGTGTTACTAGCACCACTGAGATGCCTCAGAATTTTACACAAGTATTTGGGCATTTATGATGTTGATTTAATCTTGGCATTCCAGTTAGGGTCCAGTCCTGCTAACCGATTTACTAGGGCAGGCTGGTGCAGAGCATGTGGAAATCCTCCCACTGGGACATAATGCCCCTGCTTGCCCACCCGAATGCAGGCTCAGGAGCCACGTTTGGGCAGTGAAACTAGACGAGCCTGTTGCATGCCTACCAAAATGAGGCACGGTACTGCCACCCTCCCCATTCAAAAATCCTCCTCATTTGTAAGAGATTTTAAAATAGGCCGGGGTTGGATTAGAAAGAGCTTCATAGTCTGTGCACAAATGCTTCCTGGAGCCATGCATAAGAAATGCTGGTGAAATGCACCTTTTCCTCCCCATGTGCCCCAAAAGGATCTTCACTCTCCCTCCCTCCCCTAGCTTCTCTTGGCTTCCATGGCTATAGCAACTATACCAGCGGGGGTTATGTCAAAACCCCTCCCTTCTTACCCATACAGCTTCCCCCGGGGCTCTGGGCAGAGGAATGCCTCTCATGGGGAAGGAAGGCTGTTGTCTACTTGCACACGAGTGTCTGAGGACTCCAGGAAGGGATCCCAATCTAGTACGCTCTGGGGAAAAGCACGTCCAGTCCATCTCCAGCTATTTAACCTATTCATTCTGCTTTGGCTCTATGGCTCCACCCCCCCGCTTCTTCTCCTGCAGAGCAATAGAGTGAGCAACTTTTTCCTGTACTTCTCTGGTGGCAGAACATAGACCCTTTTCCCTTCCTTGTAAGGGGCATGGCCCAACAGAAACAAATGCCCCCTCCACTGGAAAGACTCTAAATCACCACTGCCATGGTATTAGAATTTTCACACTCTCCCCTGTAGGGGGCAGCCAAATACACAGGATAGGTGGAGACATGGGTTCCGGTGGCAGTAAGACTTTGCTAATCTCATTACAAGGCTCCTGTAATTCATAATGTTCACTGTGCCAAACTTCCCTTCTTAGTAATGTAAGAATGTGTCAGTGTAAGGTAATCTCGTGAATCTCGATTCAGACAGGTAGGAGTACATGGACAGAAAGTAAGAATTTCTGGGTCCTTTAAGCCTGTATTTCTGTACTTTCCTCCTATGTTGCTTAAGTAAAGCTGTAAGACTTAAAAATGCTTCTGACAGTCAGCTAAAAAAATTAAGCAGTCACACTGTGCCAGTAAAACATGCAGACGGCAGGACAAAATAAAACACATGCACAAGTATGTGATAGCACACGCAGCAATCTTTTCTGCACAAGCAGGAGACGCTGGGTTTTGTACATTTTATGGATAATGCTTGCTCTTCCTTAAGTTAAAGGATTCCCCACAGACCATTCTTCACAGTTGTAGACACTCCCATTCTGATTGGGCAGCACTTTACACCCACAGGTGCAAGTGACCCTACAGCAAGTGCATGATGGTGGTGAATTAGGTCTTTAAGCTCTGTGTTGCACCTGTGATTGACTGCTGTTAACAACAGGTAGCCTATTTGCTGTGCCTGTTTTCCTACCAGGTAGAGAATTCCCACTGAACATAACGAGAGTAACAAATTCCTCTCCAAGAGCAAGCTTGCAAGGCCTGCGGGAAAGATTAGGAAATGACAGCCCTGAAGGAAAGAGAGAGCAGGTTACAGGGAAGAAAACCCTTCTACCAGGTGCTGGAGGCTGGGTACTGGTGGGATAATGCAAATCCTGGAATTTTAGGCATAAGATAATTGTACTTTTATTTACCAACATAGGGTATCATGTAAAAATTGCTAACAGTGCTGCTGTTACATGTTTTGTAATAGTTCATTATA